TTTGTCTCATTGGGTTTCAGGTTTAACTGATATCTTCAGCATAAATCAATTTAGTTTTATTAAAATTATTTATAACACTAATTACTTAAAATTACCATTGAGAGTTTTATAGATGCATATGAGTTACAGACGAGTGCACTAACATTATCTCCTTTCAAATTTCTTTTTTATATCCTCCCACCATTATTCTCTTTAAATTTCATATGCCCCCCCAAAAAACAAACAAACATACAAACAAAAAACCCTGAAGCTATTTACAAATGCTAGTATGTGCCAAATTCAGGGACACATATGAAAGCATTTTTAGCCTCTTAAATGTTCAATTCTCAAAGAAATCTGGCACTTCCTCTCCCAGAAGCCATCTGTGGACAACAGCTCTTCAGCTAACACTGTGAAAAACTCACCTCATCCACTATCCTTAAATTTGTCTTGTTGATTTTGTGCAGGTTTTGTGCATACTGTCCTAATTAGTAAGTTCACATGTGCAGGTGCCCTGTTTATTCTGGACAAAACTTGTTTCCTTGAAATCATCTGCCACCTCTGTTTCTTACACTCTTTCTGATTCTTCTTCCAAGATGATCCTTGCATATTTAAAGGAAAAGGTATCATATGGATGTCCCATTTAAAGATGACCCATGTAGAGTCACGTTCTTTATTGGTTATTTGAGACAGGGATTGTCTGTGAAGCTTTGGAGCCTCTCCTGGAACTTCTTCTGTAGACCAGGTAGTCCTCAAATTCACAGAGATTTGCGTGATTCTGCCTTGCAAGTGCTTTGCCAATGGCATGTGCCTCTACCACCACCTGGCACATCCAAAGTCTCTTTTTCTTAGCACATTAGAGAGATTATGGGCCTGTGTGTTAATCCCTATTGGGTGCCAAAAGGCACTTCCTGGATGAGGGCTGACAGTTTTACTAATCCATATTTATGAGCCTAGGAAGCAGTTTATTACATTGTCCACTTATTTCATTCAACCTTTAACTAGTACAAAGCTATAATGCTGGTAGGAAATGGATAAAAAGAGAAAATTACATTAAGTTAATAAAGCCTTTCATGGACAAACCAATAACAGGATTGGTATGGTGGCCAATACATTCAACACAAGCATTCAGGAGACAATGCTGGCAGAACTGTGGGTTCAAGGCCAACCTGGCCTATGAACTGAGTTCCAGAACAGCAAGAGAAATTTAGAAAGACTTAGGCTCAAAAATATAGGAACAAAAGAAAGAAAAAAGAAGGAAAAA